AGGTCTGCTTATATTCTGCCCCTAATATGTAAATTTCCAGGAAGGCCAGACAATTTCTATGAACCACCTTTTAGAAGATTGGAAACCATTTATCACTTGTGCAGTGGCCAAATTCTGTGTTGCCACGATGAAAATAAGGCAGAACTGATTACAGAAATAATCACTTCTGTTTTATTTATCACTTTAGGTTTAACACATATTAGCTCTCTTGTTTTTAGCTTATATATATTTTACTTCACAGATTGTAATATTTTAGATTTACATTTGCACAGATAATGAATACATCATTATAGTAGTGCGTGCCACATTTTTATGTTATTTTATCTTTGTTATGCTAGTATTTTATCTCATCTATTTGATTTTACTTTGGTGTTGTATTTTTTTATTTTTATTTTCGCTTGTCATTGACCAAATAAACAGTATTTCATTTCAAGTGATCCCAGGGTGCTTGTACTCCCTCTCAGCTGCTCTTTGCAAAATATTATTCGCAAAATATTAAAGTCACATTAAGCTTAGTCCAGTCGTACAAAAGCTTCTGGGCATAATTATTTGTAATAAGTACAAAACACCTGTAAGCATCTTGAAAGGGGTGTGTATGTGTGTGTGTTAATTTACAAATGAATAACACAAGTATGAGTGAGTTCACAAATTTACTGCCTTTCGGCCTACAGTAAGTGTATAGTTATTCCCTTATATTCTGCTGATATCATGGATTCTATAACCCTCCACCTACCCTTATAATTTGTCATAAAATCTTTGTGTAATTTTGTTTTATGCTATGTACCTCATTGTCCCTAGAGGATAAAGAAATGGGTTGCTACTTTTAAAGGGAAAAAGTCAGATTAGCTGTTCATGGGACAGTTAACTATATTGATTCAATCTAGAGAAACTGATTAATACATTTATTTATTATATTTATATCCCATCTTCACCCAGGAGGGTTCAAGGCAATTTTTTTCTTATTTAACCAAAGTTATAGAGCTACCCAACAGGGTGGGTTACAAAAAACAACAACAAATAAAAAACCCAATAAGATGGCATGACCTGATAAAACTAATAAAAACTAACCTACCCACCACTAGGCCTGATAATACAAGACAATTAAAGAAAACCACTCCTTATTCCAGGGTTTGGAGAAGGAGCCAGGGCTTTAAGGTTCAATTAAAAGGTTGGGGCAACACCAATCCTGAGTGGGATACCATTTTAGAGGGCCAGCTCCTTGACAGAGAAGGCATGGTTCTTGGCACCCATCAATTATATTCTTTCTAGTATGGGACCTGGAGCATGCCCACTCTGCCAGATCTTACAGGGCTGGCAGAAGCAATGGGAGAAAGATGGTCCCTCAAGCAATCTGGCCCTATGCCACGAAGGGTTTTATAGACCACAATCAGCACTTTGAACTGAAACTGGAAGCTCACTGGTAACTACTGCAGCTTGCACCACAGAGGTATCACATGGGTGTACCAAAGCACATTCATAATTGTCTCTGGGGTTGCATTCTGGACCACTTATAGTTATGAGCGACCTTCAAGGGCAGCCTGTGAGAAGGGAATCCCAGTCCAGTTAAGGCTACAGTCTTGGCAAAGGCCTTCTTGACCACAGCTGCCACCTGTTCCTTGATCAGAATCTGAGGATACACAGGAACCCCCAAATTGCATGTGAGTTCTGTTTGGAGAAGTGCAACCCTGTCTAGAACTGAAGATGGAAAATATCTTATACCAGGAGAACTGAAAATCTGTAGTTACTCTGTCTTGTCAGGATTGAGTTTAAGGCTGTTCCTTCCCATTTAAATCTTCACAGCCTCCGGGCATTGGGACATGACCGTGACAGCATCACCTTGTCAGTCCAGTGCCTGGATACACCACTAGGTATCATCAGCATACTGATGGCATTGGGCCCTGTGTTGGCAGGTGACCTCATCCAGCAATTTCTGTACAGGTAGTTCTTGACTTACAATCATTAGTTCAGTGACTGTTCGAAGTAACAATGGCGCTGAACAAATGGTCCTTACAACTGGTCCTCAGAGTTCTGGCCGTCCTGGCACCTCCATGGTCACGTGATTATGATCTGGGTGTGTGGCAGCTGGCTCACACTTAACAACCAATTGCAGTGGCCTGCGATCATGTGATGCAAGTCACTGGGATAAGTCCCCCCACCTGTGCACCCTCCCCCTGCCCCTCTGCACTTGCATCAGTCACTCACATACCTCTGCGCACCCTCCCTGAGCCTCACCGTGCCTCCCTCACACCCCCGTGCAATCTTCCCAAGCCTTGCCGCACCTCCCACGCACCCCCTCACACCCTCCCTGATCCTCCCTGTGCTTCCCTCGCACCTTCACGCACCCCCTCGCATCCTCCCCCACCTGGCAGCAGCCACTTACCTGCCTCCTGGCCTGCTTGCGAATGAGGGACTTGCAACTTCCTGCCGGCTTCCCCACTGATTTGGTTGTGGGAAGCTGGCAGGAAGTTGCCTCATCTAACAACAATGGGATTCGATTAACAACAGCAATCAGGACTGCAGGGATTGTTGTTGCGAAGTGATGTGGTTGAACTTTACGGCTGCATCGCTTAGCAACAGAAATTCCGGTCCCAATTGGTGTCGTAAGTTGAAGACTACCTGTACATATTAAACAGGAGAGGTGTGAGTATCAAGCATCCCACTGTTAAAGGTCGGAAGTGTTCCAATCAACACAGCTGGAACTGATCCAGAAGAAAGAAGGAGAACCATCATAACACCATATTTCTCACTCCTATTCCTGTAGCTAGCCCAGAACAATATCATGATCCATGATGTATTAGAATCACTTTGTGTGAGATGGGTGGCTATATAGATAGATAGATAAATGTATTAAAAGCCACTGAGAGATCAAAAGGAGCCAGGATGGTCACATCACCTCCATTCAGTTCTACCAGAGGTCAACCACAAGCATGATCAGTGTCACCAATAGAAGACAATATATGTAGCTCGGGGTTGAACAGTGGAGTCCTTGGAGTTCTCTGAGCTTGGTTGTTTTCTTGCAAATGTTTTGTTACCCAGCTAGGTAACATCTTCAGTGCTAGAATGGAATGGGGTTTTCTCTCTGTTTATATACAGTGGCTTGCCCTGCCAGTGTTGATGGAGGGTGGTGGTGGTTTATTTTTATTTTTTCTTCTCCTGGTAGTTCCTTGATTAGGGTATTGTTTACTGCTTCATTATTACTACTGTCATCTCTGTACTATGTCCAGGCCTGAACCCAGCTGGAAAGGTCCCAAATAATCTGCAACTGGACCACTTTTTCAACAAAGTTCCTGAAAAAGGAAGGGCTGAACATGTACTAAAGTTGTCCAGAATCATCTTATGATAATTTTTTTTT